AGCACAGTAAATTGAGCTTTTGGCCTATCCTCAACGTGAGAATTTGGTCTCACTTGAGCTCAACTTAGGACAACCCTTCGCTCTCTTGAAGTGTGCCGCCCCAGCCAAACTTTTCTAATTTCTATCCTATTCCTGTGATAGGTAAAGCATTAATTCAAACAGGGTATTGGTTTTTCAGAATCGATGCTCCTCCCACCGTAGTCTACACCCCCGCAGGAAACTATACAAGACTAGACCAAGTGAAGCTCTACAGGGTCTTCTTCCCCGCTGGATATCTAGGACCGTTCCCACCTACAGTTGTTTCGCTGAGAGGACAGTTTGGGACAGTGAGAAACCTCATAGCTCCTTCATTGCAGGTCACTAATTAAGTGACGAGGTATTTCGCTACTTTGATAAGATCATAGTACCCCAGCTATTTTACCGGTTGCTTCGTGGCTTGAACCATATTAACAGACACAGCACTGAGCAGGATTCATCTGTCGCGTTCACTGGCTATACTACCACAGCCGCGAACACTACGTTTTTATTAAACCAGTGGGCTCTCCGCGTAACAATCGGTTCTGATTTTCATCAAGCCAAGCTTTTATCCCTGAAAGTTACATCCTTCTAATTGCCGAATTCCCTGAACTATCATTGCCTCAATGGCATTGAGGCTACTACCTAGAAACCTGATGCGGTTATCCGGTACGGGAGTGACACAGTAAACTATTTTCGCTTCATGACCAATCCAATAGCCGATGAGTCAACATAACCGAAGCTATGTTTTGCCAGCAGAACGCCGCAGGTTTCGCCGGATGACCAGTTTTCCCTGGGTATTATACTGTCATGTAGGAAAAACCCCTACCAACGGTATTAAGATTGGCGGAGAAAAATAGTATGCGTTGCCGCGAAACTGTTGTCATTACAGAATATCAACTGGACTCCCTTCTCCCATTATGAGATTAGGATCGACTAACTCTGGACTGTTTAAGTTGTCCATGAAACCCTACTCCTCATTCAGCCCCCAGGATACAAGGGCCTGGATAATCCTACTTCCCAATTAGGATCCTGTAATTAGACATCTCCAGTCCAAACTCACATTGCACCTCACAAAAATGTTCCACATCCCCTACCTCTCAGTTTCAATTAGAACTTGATGTCTGAGATCGGAGTACTATATGCGGCCATTCATTTTCGGGGGCCCTAGTATTGCGAGTGAGTTTTAACACACTCTTTAGCGATTAATGTGTTTAGGGACGACCATCTGTCTAAATACATGGACTCTCTTATGGTATTCAGTGGATAGTCATTTCGGCACCTATTCACGTATGGTTCAAATCCAGTTTCGACATGACGCTTACCGGTCAGAGCACTTGTTAAGAACGCCGATTCATTTAACGCATTTCAGTGAGGTAATGCTAAAAGGAGTTCGAAGTTTGGAATAAGTTGAAACCGAAGGCTCCTGCACCTCTACCCATAATCTCTATCTCCCCTTAAACTAAATGAACACTATCCTGATGGAGAACTTCGAGGAAACAGCATAGGTGGGTTTGATGAGTCTTTCTGCACCTTTTACCTACATCAGAAAAATGATTTGCACATCAATAACCCGTACGGTCCTCCATCAGAGTCCCCTGACTTCAACCTGTGAGGCAAAGTTCACACCTTTCGGTTCCTATCAGTAATGCTCGAGTAGCCATGCAACGCCAGTTGCTTTTCTACGCCTCTTACAGTTAACGTGCAAGACTCGCACTACAGATAAACTCCTAATCGTTTTCAAGACGTGGTACATTAAATAGCCTTAACCCTAAGCAGTTCAGGAACTTTTTCACACCTCTGTTTTAAGATTCTTTTTTCATCTTTTCGCTTCCACACTATTGTAATCTATCTTCTCTACTCAGTTATTTAGCCTTGGATGGGACATACCACCCCCTTAAGACATACTCTCAAAAGTATCCGACTCCCCGGTCATCGTAAGCTTGCGGTTTGGTCATGACGAGGCTTTTACTCTGAATCGCGTCAGCATTCCATCTGACTTGACAGTGCAATAGGTGACCACACCATTTCTCCTGCGGGATTAAGACGTGGGCTGTTCCTTTTCGATCGCCTTTTACTAAGGAATCCTAGTTAGGTTCTTTTTTCCTCCGCTTAATTGAGATGCTCAGTTTCAGGTTCTGTACTGTATGGCAGATCTACGTGTTGTTTGTCTCTATATATTATTTACTTATTCGCTGAGAATAAGAATATTATAAAAGATGTAGTACTGACAAACCATGCTTCTCGACCGAGATCGAGTTTTAGCGCAATTTGCATTCAAAGATTAACCTGTCATGATGTTTGCAAACCCGGTTACTAACACATTATGCCACGTTCTTCATCGTGTGAGGAGCAAGACATCCATTTGCTTAGAGACTTGGTTTTTGATTGAAGTTAGTTTTAATTTGTATTGGTTTTTGTTTAAAAGAAGTTGGTGTTAGTTATTAAACTAGAACTGATCCAACGCAGGTTCACCTACCGTTACCGTTGTACTGGAGTTCTCCTTCCTCTAGATAACGTGATTTAATCACTTTTCTGTCGTAGCATCCGGTGATTTCACCGAGTCATTCCAATCTGGTAAGGAGCAGGACGGGCGGTGTGTACAAAGGCAGGAGCGTATTCAACTGCGGCGTTGTGACACCACATGTAAGAGGGATTTCCTGGTCTCATGACGCTGATTACAAACGTCAATCCCCAACTACGTTAGGATTATAAGAAGTTAGCGCACCCTCCTCAGGCTCTGCATTCCTACTTGATCCTAACATTGTAGCACGCGTGCAGCCCAGTGCATCTAAAGCATTCACGGACTGTTATTGCTACCTCGTTCCACCTGCTTAATAATCGCAGGGAGTCCCAATTATAACTTTACCGAAGGACTTTCGGCAAAGTTATTGGAATAATCTCGCTCCGTTACTGAATCAACGCTTAGACAGGTCAACCCACGACACCAACGCGCCATGCAACCAAAAAACAATATCCTGAAAGACCGAAGCCTTGTCAGTCATAAAAACATGTCTGTCCTTGGTAAGTTTTCCACCGGTGGATTCAAATTAAAGCACAGAGCTACCCGCCTTGGTTGTGCCCTTTCCGTCAATTCCTTCAAGTTTCAGCCTTGCGGTCGTAGTTCCCAGAGCCAAGAAACTGATGATTTTCAAAGATTCTGCCATTACAATGACAACTCTGTCGATCGTTAAGGTAGGATACAGGTCTTCTAATCCTTTGATATCCTACTTGCCTTGAGTCGACAGAAAACCCTCTAAGTAGAACGCCTTCGGCTCAGCTTTTTCATGAGTCAAGTATTCCACCACTCCGTCATGAGTCAAGTCTACCCGATGGCTCTATTGAGCTTGTAATTTTCGAATAAAACAAAGACTTCATATGCCTGAGTCATTCATGGGCATACTCTAACGTCCTTGATTTGTTCACATGGTGAACAGTAAAAAATAACGTACGAAGCCATTGCTGGCATTAGATACGGGCGTGTTTAACGCCCAACAATTGGACAACTCGCAGAGCTGGAATTACCCGCAGCTGCTGGCACCAGACTGCCCTCTGCTAGGTTTCGGTACCGGTTGGAAGAACGCGTACCCTATCCACAAGTACCAAAAGGCACCAATGAAAGAACTGGGTCATACCTCCTCCGAAAGTCTCGAGTGGGAAAGTTTCGCGCCTGCTGCTACCCGTGAGTATGAGTCGCGTAATCTCTCAGGCGCCTTGCTCCGCAGTCGACGGTAACGCCGTACGTGATACCTACCTAGGTAAAGATAAGTCCAGCTGATAGGTCACTCAGTCGATGGCGTGCTCTGATGAGGTAACATTTTCCTCCATAATTCACATCTGGAAAACAATCGCATGTATTAGCACCAGAGTTGCGCTGCTATCCATTTAAGACCTGTTGTCGCCGCCAAATAGATTTTCTGAGCGTATTAATGAGCTATTCGCAGTTTCGTTACCTGAACTACACTTGCATGGCTTAATCTATGACTAAGTGTGCTTCCTTGGCAGGATCAACAAGGTATCGCGATTAAAAAGATGTATTAAGATGTTTTTCCAAAGTTATCTTGTTATGATGCCACTGAATATCCATAATACATGATGACGCAAGTCATCGATAAGTTATTGCCAAATATAAATAAGCGCAGTGCTGTTAATATTCGGCACATTCTAAGACAGAATCAATATGTTAACATATTAACTCGTCAGCGTCTGGAGGTGATTTCTCCCTGTTTATATACCAGACTCGGCTAGATTTTAGTAAGAAATGCTTACTCATAACTGGAACGTTTTGCAACTTTCCCATAGGAGCAAAGGTCATGTTTTTTCGGTCTACAAAAAATTCAATCGGTGGAGTCGAGTTCAGGTATTTTTCGTCTTGCTCATACACAAGGTCCCCGAGCAAACTTTGTATGGGGCAATGTTGGAGCATTGGGAGTTATGATTATAACTCCGTACATGTGCCCACCTACGACAACTATTTGAATAATAAAATAATTATCTGATTTTCAAAATTATATGGTCAAGTGTGCTTAACGAAAAAACTACAAACGTAGTAACATTATACTACTTATGTGTAGATATTATATTTCCAAAAATATCGTATCGTCTTAAAACCATCGAATATGACTTCAATCTTTTTCATTATTTTTTTCCCTCGCTCATTTCAGCGTTTTTTTGAAAATCAATTTTTTTTGTATTTTTCAACTTTCTCGGCGATACTCAACATACGAACTTTCTTGCAGATAGACATATATGGGGTATCAACATACGATAACTTTATCCTCAGTTGCTCCTTTCCATCTTCTTATATGGTGGACTTCTAGGTAATATTCCACCCCCTAGAAAAAAATTTGTAAATTTTTTCATTTTCATATGGAGTGACGTATGAACTGAGATGTCTCACCATGCTCAAATGTACTACATATATCGTATACAAATATGGATATATGTAAAAGATTTTAAAATTGCTTATGTTGTTAAATAATTTTTCCGCTGATCATGGACTTTGATTTTTTTTCGATTTTTTTAATTTTTCGTTCACACGCATAATCGAAACAGTGAGACTTAAGTGCACAAAAAACTTTTGAAGATTACAGATAGATAGGGTTATAGTATAGCTGTGTTGTTTATGTTTGTTTCATTTCGATAGCTTAAGTATTCTACTGATGATATAAATGCATTTTGTGTCAAATTTTTGAAAATCGATTTGTTTTCTCGTAGAATCATTTGTAATGTTATACGAAGCACTAATCATATATGTTATATGTATATATATCTTAGTTATAGGGAATAGTATATATCTTACGTATATCTTTTAGGAGCGAATTTTTTGGTTTTACCCGACGAAACTAAATCAACATAGTTTTTCGTCCTATCATCTAAAAATTTGATTTAGACTTGATAGAGACTTAGATTAGTTATCCCTTCGACTTTATGGATTTTGCTTAGGTGAAGACTACCAAGCGGCCCTGGATATAAACGGAACACTCCATATATATACGCTAATACTATGTTACTTGATATATGTTTTTGTTTGAGATATACTTCGAGTCCAAACTTATAAAGCTTAGTATGTGTATTAGTTGCCTATATACTTAAGTGATTTGTTTTTTTGAGTTTCGCTTTAATATTTTTTTTCTCCTAATATGATTAATTGTATTTTAGTTAGTTATAGTTATGCTCCATTTTATAGCTGCTGATATAAAAGTGCACTTTACACTTGAAAAAAATCCAAAATATTTGAACCTAGAAGCGAAGCTGAACCTCAACAGGTCGTGGACGTAATGCCACCACTGCTACAGTACCCTTCGTTCATCCACATGTCTATCTACATTGGTTACCATTTGAGCGGACCTTTTGGAGTATGTTATTCGGTAGCGGTCTCAACGATCACGTGCATCACTTTCTAGATGGGCTTCTGGCTTAAGAGGCTTTCAGCCATATCCCAGGACGGCGTAGAGCTGCGCGACATACCGTTTCCGGATATATCGCTAACCCAGAGGCCATAATCAACATTGTCCTCTACGTACTTAAATCATATCTACTATCATATGCTATATCCAGTAGATAAACCAAACCTGGCTCACGAGGTTCTAAACCCAGCTCATCAGTCCCATGAATAGAGTGTGAACAATCCGACCCTTAGCAAACTTGTTAACATCACTAGGATATGGAAGAAGGCCGACATGCGAAGAATCAAAAGCTGCGTGATTATCTTGCTTAGCAGCACAATCCAGTTGTCCGGAGGTTAAACTTGTCTGGTCACCCCCAATCCCACGCAACCTGAGGCTATTTAGGAACGTTAGGCCTTATCTTTCGTAACTGATCTCCTAGTACACAAAGCCACATAAATTTGAGCTTTTGGCCTTATTCCTCACGAGTTGAGATTTCATGTCCTCACTGAAGCTCAACTTAGGACACCTTTCGGCTCTTTCGAAGTTGTGCCGCCCCAGCCAAAATCTTTATCTATCTAGTCATTCCTTGTATAGTAAAGCATATCCAAGATCAGGGTATGGTTTTCAGGAATAGCAGGATTTGCATCTCCCACCTAGCTTACACGCCCGCAGGAGAGCGGTGTCAGTGGTAGCAAGGACTTAGACCAGAAGTCAATGCTTCTACGAGGTCTTCTTTCCCGCGGAATATCTAGGACCGTTCCACTACATGGTTCGCTGTAGAACAGTTTGGACAGTTCTGAGAACCTCATAGCTCCGTTCATGCAGGTCACTAATTAAGTGACGATGTGGGTATTTCGGCATATCTTTATAAGAGTATAGTTACCCGCAAGCTTATTTACCGTGCTTCGTTGGCTTTGAACCATATTAAACAGACAACACATCTGAGCAGGATTCATGTCGCGTCACTGGCTATACTACCACAGCGCTTGAACACTACGTTTTTATTCAACAGTTGGGCTCTCCCTAAACAATCGGTTGTGGATTTTTGGTTTTAGTCAGAGCCAGGCTTTAATTTGATCCCGAAGTTACAGCTCTTAAAGTTGGTCGCGAATTCCCTGATAACTATCATGCCATCAATGGCCAAAGTGCATTTTTCTTACCTAAGAGAGTATTGATGCTGATGCGGTTATCGTTATCGTGAGTACACTGGGCTAGTAACAACTTATTTTTTCGCTCATGGACCTCATATCCATATGAGCTCGAATTACTATAATTCCGAAGCTATGTTTCCAGCAGAACTGCCGCAAGTTCGCCTGATGACCCAGTTTCCCTGATGGGTATGAGTACTGTCATGTAGGAAAGAGATCCCTACCAACCGGATATAAGATTGGCGGAGAAAAATCATGCGTGTGCCGTCATACGTGTTTGTGTCTTTTACAGATAATATTATTCATATTTGTACTCCCTTTCTTCGCTATGTTATTGAGATATGGTATTCTGACCTAACTCTTGATTCTGTTTAAGTTTGTCCAGGAAAGCCTACTCATAGCTCGCTAGTATACTAAGCCTGATAAACGTACTCGAAGTTAGGATCTGTAAGTAGATCATCTGTCCATGTCCTAACTCACATTTGCACCTCAAAAAATGTCTCATCTGATCCCCCTACTTCGTCTATTTCAATGAACTGATGTTCTGGTAGATCGGGGTGAGTGACTAATTGCGATTTATTTAGTGTTTGTCTTTATCGTATTGATGTCTGCAGGCGTGATGTTGAAGCGTAATATCTTTAGCGGATATCCTGCTTTTTAGGGTTTGGCACGTACCTTGCTGTGTTGCTTTAATATAGATCATGGACTCCCGTTTAGTATCAGTGAGTAGTACATTCGGCACCTTATTCAGACGTATTGGTTCATCCCATTTCGCCATGACCGTTACCGTCAGAGCCCAACTTTGTAACGCTTAATTCATTTAGCATATTCCAGTTTAGGTAAATGGCACTAACAAGGAGGTTCGAAGGTTGGAAAATAAGTTGAGAACCCGAAGGCTCCCTGCACCTCTACCCATATCTCTATCCCCTTAACAAATGCATTAACGTATCCTGAGGGAAACTTCGGAGGGAAACCAGCTTATAGGTGGTTCGATGAGTCTTTCGCACCCTTTACCTACATCAGAAAAATGATTTGCACATCAATAACCCCTACCAAACATTTACGCCCTCATTACGATGAAGATAGGTCTTTGACAAACGCATGTACGAAGAAGTTTTTGACAAAACATTTTCTATATCGAATCTGTAAGATCTACAGAATTTTCCATGTTACATAAAATGCAAATCATCTCACGCTCATTCGATGAAGAAGTCTTGACAAAGCTATGTACGTTCAGTATTCTGACAAACTTTACGAATGAAGTTTTGACAAAACATTTACGCTTCATTACGATGAACGAAGTCATGAAAATTCAAGAGGGTAGAAACCAGGTGAGGAAACCACAGGTTAGCATCTAACCATCTACCCTTAAAACATTATTTTTGCCTGAAATTCAGCCAACAAAATAACGAGGTCAGCGATGATATGTAAATACATTTGAATTCACTTCATGAACACCCTTTGGTAAGCTCATAAAATGCTTTGTTTGAGGTCGAGCCACTTTTTGGCTCCACCGTAATTCTTTCACCAAAACAAGAATTATCTGCATGAATTTTGTAAAAAAAGCAACCGTCGGAATTAGCACTGTTGTGATATTCTTCACAAACACATTTATCGCTCATTACGATGAAGAAGAGCTCTACGAAAATAATTTACGATTGAAATCATTACAAAACACTATACGAAGAAGTTTGACATAACATTTACGATGCAAATCATGACAAAAACATGCTAACGCCTCATTACGATGACGAAGTCATGCAAACACATGCTACATCGAAGTCATCGACAAAACATGCTACGATGAGTCATGACCTTTTTCATATTATAAACTGTTATTTTTTTTGACGAACGTCGAAGCCGTTGCACACTTCGCTCAAAAAAAATCCCTGAAATCATATCTTTTATACAAAATAAAAAAATATAAATGACAATTTTTTCATTAGATTAACTGTTATTTTTTTCTGACAAGTGAACAT